AAAGACGATCATATTTTGGGCGCACCAAAACAGTGCGATCGTTACGATTTTAAAATACAGAAGATCACAAATGGGACAATGTACAAGGAGCTGTTTAGACAACACAAACCATTACTTGATTACTTGCAAGAGAAATCGGGATTAAAAATATCAACACTAACCAATGTGATTATTCTATATGATGCACTATGCACTTTAAACAGAGCAAATCGGCGCCAAAATGCTACTTGGAAAAAATGTACGAACTATATCATGATTTATTATACCAACATAACCTTTTGATGTCGAATGTACATTGCGGAATTGGGAAGTTTACCAGTAGCCAGTTCTGAGAAGTTTGCGGCGTAAAAGACTTAGAATCTCCAAATAAACAATACACGATATTTGTTATTTTTCAACATGTTCGGAAAAAAGGTTTTAAAAACATTTCTACAATTGCTGACAAAAATATAAAAAATTATCAATTGTTATGCCAAAAATTGTTACGAATTGATGTAGATTAAAAAGTTTTAAAGTAAGTTTTGAGCATTTTGTTTTATTAACTTCTGTATTGATGAAAATGAAGACTCTGGAGAAACTTAGAATTTGGAAAATAAATAAATCAAATTTTGTGTTTGAAAATATATATTGTTATGCATATAAACCCTGAACTGCATGTTATTTGAAATGTTTTATGAACTACATTTCATTGACGCATTGACCTTTTTTCAATAAATCTCAGTTAAAGGAAGAATAATTTATCGCCTTCAAAATAAACTGGAATAAGACCAAAAGATAAGTGTAGTGATTTCATCATGTTTTATAATCTACGTACAATGTGTCAACCATCCATTATCAGGATTCCGTTTTTGTTTTTTTTTTCACTTGAAGCATCAAAATATGATCAAACAAACAAGTTTGAAGCGCCTTATCAAATAGTAAAATGGAATTTTTGAATAAAACGAAAGTAAATTTGTTTTGGGACATATTTTTGGAGTAAACATATTATTATTATTTTTATTTGAACATGGAATTTCTGGGGTGAACTGTCTAAATACGTAAGTGAAACGCAAATATTTCAATCATTTACAAAAACATTGTGAAAACGCATGGAAATGTCATATTTGTCAGTGATATTGAGAGTATAGTGTGCTTTTTTCGCTTTTTTCAGACGCGGATTGTGTGTTAATTCCACACATTGGACGAAATGTTCTTACGTTGATAAGCGACACAGAGACTCAAAATCCTCATAATCAGTCGGAAGTATGTGCCTGTACAACACATAGAATTTGTCCAATGGACACATTGTGCCGCAATTCGGAATATTTAATGCTGGAACATTTTCTGTTGGCGTCTTGCGATAAAATAGTTGAACGAAATAGCTATCATTTTGTCGATATAATTCAAAAAACAAACTTGACGCGTATGGCGGCACGTGCAGCTGATAGAAAATACATTTTATTTATTTGATAAATTTTCATAATAAATTTCATAGAATATGTATTTACCTCATAAAGATTAAGAGCATTTAAAACGCTCACGATGTTTAGGTCATGGGCTGAGTATGCCCAAATTGATAAATGAGGTTGAAGTAGCGATAAAGACTTGTTTTTAAATCGATCGAACATTTCTTTGATCAAAAATCCAGCCTTTTACCGTAAAAAAACATTTTTTTTAAATTAAAACAAAAAACATATTTAACGTTGAAAATGTGATCCTTACCTTAATTTTCTTCATTTCATTTGTATGAGTAAATGATTCCATGTGAATCGTACTTATCTGTTCTAAAGTATCATTTGTGTAACGAGATATATCGTTAACCCATGAGGGAAGGCTAAAGGTAAGCAAAAGAAATATATAAGCTCAAATTGTTAGAATATTGACAAAATGCTTCTTTTTTTTCAAATCTAAAACTTACTCAAATCCTCTTTCTTTCTCTTCTTCAAGTAACATAATCAGGTACATTACTTCAATGGGATTTGAAAGCGTTCTTCCTGTTTTCAAACTTAAAAATGAGATGAGATCGGCACTTCTGTTCATGTTATATTTGAATTTGGTCGATTCCGTAAATTCTTTATAGAGTTGTGTATGTCGAGGACAAATCAAGTCATGAACCAGAAGATAATCTTCATTGTATGGCACCGTATGGATGGGAATTGGTTGCCAAGCAAGTGCTTTATTCCAGACTTCGCCTTCTGTTGGTTCAAACCATCCAGCAGCGTTGCATTGAGCGCTCATTAAAGTTCGATCGGTGTCGCTGCTTCGAATGTATACTTTGTCGGCCGAATATCGAGTTCCAATTAATTTTCGATACCTTCGTCGCAGGTATTTCCCCAATTCAAAATGCTGTTGCTTGCCAACCTTTGCAAATAAAATGAATATTGCACGCATTAATAAGGATTAACCCTCAGCTGCATGAATTTTTCCCAGAGCTGGGAATTTTTTTCTTGGTTTATTTTAATGAATAATTAACGGAAAAAATATTGGTTTTTCCGAAAAATGAAGAAAAATGTGAAAATTGGGTGGAAAACTGTTGCCGAAATTTTGTTTCTAATTTTTCAATGAAAATATCAAACTTGATTTAGAAAATGAATGAAAAAAGAACAAAAACTGAATGGAAACGATCGAAATCATTCAAGATTGCATTAATTGGGTATGAAAATCGTGGAAGGATGATGAGGTTGAGGTTTATTTGACATTGTGTACATAACCTTGTGTTTCAGAAATTGCATGTATTTTTGCCGTCCCAATCTAAAACAAGACCGCAGAGCTTCGCTCTGCTCTGCGTTCTTGAGTTTTTAGTTAATTAATCTATTTTGTTGTTTCACAACAAACTATTACATGAAATGTATTTCATCAAAGTAACTTTGAAGTAATATATTTATTTGCAAAATGAATAACAAGATCTTGGTTATATTTCTTTTTTGGTTATTAAATAAAAAATATGAGCATTGAATCTAAAATCACTTTAATTCGTTCAAGACACAGAAAATATTATACGAAAAATTAATGTAATTTTTAAACAACATTTGATAATAAAAATTTGATTGGCGCTTTGAGATATTATGCACCTACTTGTCGTTACTGCCACTGTTTTGAATTAAATAAAAAATATGAGCATAAAATTCAAATTCACCATAATTTGTTTCAACACTCAAAAAGTATCTAGACAAAAAAAAAGAGCAGATTAGTAGCTCTACATTTCATGTAGTGCTAAAAAGACACCAATGGCCTATTGCCCCAAATTGTCAAACCGAACTTTACCTTTTAGTAGGTTCGTTTTCTTCTTAGGTTTTTGCGAAATTGGCTCCGGCCTGGATGCTTCAGAGCGTCTATTCCCATACAACACATAACTTTGATGGTCATTGCAAGCAATGACAATTTGGCACTGTAAATGCGTTGCAACAACGCTTCAGGCGCCTGAGTTAGCAAATTCAGCTCAGCTTAGGTCAGGAAGCAGTGAAATAGCACTCTCTGATTGAATGTGTTTCGTCGAATCATGATTGAGCTATGAAAAATTGTATGCATATTAGGGTGGTGCGATTTTTAAAATCGTACAAATTCAAAAATGGACA